CTGCTTCTCCCTCTCCCACTCCCCCTGCTTGTGTTCCCTCTCTCGCTGTGTGTCTCTTTCTGTCAAATAAATAAATAAAATCTTTTAAAAAATACAGAAAATAGGGGTGCTGGGGTGGCTCAGTCAGTTAAGTGTCCAACTCTTGGTTTTGGCTCAGGTCATGATCTCAGGGTTGTTGAGATTGAGCCCCGTGTTGGGCTCCCCACTCAGTGTGGAGTCTGCTTGGAATTCTCTCTTTCCCTCTCCCTCTGCTCCTCCCCCTACTCTCTCTCTCTCTCTAAAATAAGTAAATAAATCTTTAAAAAAATACAGAAAATACTAAGTGTTGGTAAGGATGCAGAGGAATTGAAACACTCATGCTCTCTTGGTGAGATTGTTCAGTGGTGCAACTACTATAAAAAACAGTATGGTGGTTTCTCAAAATATTAAAAATAGAACTACCAGCAATCTCACTTCTGGGTATAATACATACAAAAGAATTGAAAGCAGGATCTTGAAGAGATATTTGAACACTCATCTTCATAGCAGCATTATTCACAATAACCAAGAGGTAGAAGCAACCCAAATGTCCACCAATGGATGAATGACGGATAAATAAAATGTTTGTTTGCTTCTATACATACAATGGGATATTACTCACCCTTAGAAGGAAATCTTGTCACATGCTATCAGATGAACCTGGATGAACCTGGAAGACATTAGGCTAAGTGAAATAAGGCAGTCACAAAAAGCAAATATTATATGATTCCACTTATATGAGATATCTGCGGGAGTCAAATTCATAGAAACAGAAAGTAGAGTGGTGGTTGCCAGGGGATGTGAGGAGGAGAAAATGGGGAGTTTCTGTCTAGTGGATACAGACTTTCTGCTTTGAAGATGAAAAAGTTTTGGAGATGGTTGTACAACAATGTGAATATACTTAACACTATTGAACTGAACACTTATAAATTGTTGAGATGGTGAATTTTATGTTATGTGCTTTTTACCACAATCACACACACACACACACACACGCATTTTAAGTCCAATCAAACAGGTGCTAGCAATGAGAGAATCATTTAAACTTTCTTTTTTTTTTTTTTAAAGATTTTATTTATTTATTCATGAGAGACGGAGAGAGAGAGGCAGAGGGAGAAGCAGGCTCCCTGCTGAGCCAGGAGCCCGATGGGGGGCTCGATCCCAGGACCCTGGGATCATGACCTGAGCCCGATGCGGGGTTCGATCCCAGGACCCTGGGATCATGACCTGAGCCGAAGGCAGACGCTTAACCATCTGAGCCACCCAGGCTCCCTCATTTAAACTTTCTAAGCTTCAGTTCTTTCATCTGTAAAATGAGGGTAAAGTGTCCATCTCTGAGTTACCATGAAATCAGAGAGATTGGGGCAAACACATTAGGATAAAGGTATATGGGGGGGTTGTGGACAATTAAGTGTAATACTGAAGTAGTGCCCTGGTATTGATGTTGCTGGAAATTGCTCTGCCACAATTTTAATTGTATTAAATTCATTAGTTACCTAGAAGTGTTTTAATTCTGGCCCCTATAAAGAACCTTACACAACGTAGGCACAGGAACTGCCTGCCATATCAATTCCCAGTTTTGGAGGATGGTGTGAGTTTTAAATGACATTTTAAGATTGATGATATATTACCTAGGCAGCAGAAAACACAACAAATTACTTAGGTCTAAAAGCATTCAACTAGGATTTGTAAATGGTAACCTGGACTCATTAAGGATTTCTATTTGTTAGAGAATGGTCAAGAGGACTGGTTTTGTGTGATTCATATTCCCGCTGCTACTCAGGAAAGGGTAAGCCAGTAAAATCCATTTGTGGGCTGTGAAACACTTAATGCTCCTTTGTACTGATGTCTTATCATTAAGAAAAAAAAGTTCATTTATAAAGAGGACAGCAGGAATTAGGCAGTAGCACATAGTCATACTAACCTGCCTGTCCATCTTCAAGAAGCTCTGCATCCAGGTTCCTGGGTTTTGGGTCAAAGATGGGGACCCAACATCAGCTCCCCGCTGTCCACTCATCTCCTTTGGGCATCTTCAAAAGAGGCTAGAAAAATACACTAAGAGAGGGGTGCCTGCGTGGCTCAGTCATTAAGTGTCTGCCTTCGGCTCAGGTCATGATCCCAGGATCCTGGGATCGAGCCCCACATCGGGCTCCCTGCTCCACGGGAAGCCTGCTTCTCCCTCTCCCGCTCCCCCTGCTTGTGTTCCCTCTCTCGCTGTGTCTCTCTCTATCAAATAAATAAATCTTAAAAAAAGAAAGAAAGAAAAATACACTGAGAGAGTTTTCGTATTCCTTCATTCCCAGACTGTCCCCAGAGGGAATTGTCAGTCACCAGCAGATGTCCGTTCAGACTACCCTGCTGCCCATTGTGGGTCTTTGAGGAGGATCAGCACTGAGGTGGGTTCTAGAGGGTTAGTGACAGGGGATAACATGTCTACAGTGCAGTTAACTCTCACCGATCTTGATAACACAAGGGAGCCATGAGCAGTGAGGGGGCTAACCCCAACGAGAATATAATATTTTTTTAGAATTTGACTGTGATTTTTGAGTTGCTAGTTCTTTTAGAAAGTTGATTTGGTGCATGTAATTTAAAAGAGCTTTTCTCTCTTTGTTTAGGACCACACGTCTCAGTGTCCAAGAGGTCCAATCAAAAGTATTTTTGCTGTTTCCCCAAGAAAGTCTTGTATTTTCATTCCAGGTCATATCCTAGCACTCTGCCTATTATGTCAAGAATCCTAAAGCAGGGCCGCCTGGGTGGCTCAGTCGGTTAAGCATCTGACTTTGGCTCAGGTCATGATCTCAGGTCCTGGGACCGAGCGAGCCCCACATCTCGGCAGGGACATCTGCTTCTCCCTCTCCCTCTGCCCACCCCTCCCGCTCGTTCACTCTCTTTCTCTCTAATAAATAAATAAAATCTTAAAAAAAAAAAAGAATCTTGAAGCCGACAGACAAGTGAGGTACCTGCCAAAATATTGTTACAAACACATACGAACCACACACCCAGACCTCAGGAAAATGGAAGCTCAGTGAGGAAAGGGATTTTTGTGTGTTTGGTTTGCTGCCTTATTCCCATCACCTGGAAGAGTTCTGAGCACAGAGTGGTGCTCAGTAACTGTTTTTCAAATGAACAGATGAATACTTGCTACATACACGCTTACACACAAATTCACAGAATTGGTAAGAACAGAGCAACAGCGTCTCATGCCAGGGAAACCCAGGCATGCCATATATGACTGACATGGCCAGTTTCTCCAGTATGATGGTCTGTAGGCTTTCTTTCCATCTACATTGGAAAGAAAATATGTCATGACACTGGGCTTAAATCCAAACACCATGTCCAGAACACTAAGAATATATTTAGTTCAAGGACTCCTAAAATTTGAGAAAACAGCATGAAAGTAATGGGAACTATAAAAACAACTGATGTGGTCCTTTGAGTAGCCAAAGGATCTCACAATCTTAAAAATTAATCATATCATGATTATGGACATCAGGTCTCAGGGTCTAATTACTGCTTTATTATTTTCTTTCTTAGACTTAATTTACAAAGATTTTATCTGACTTGACTGTTAATTTGTGACCTTAATATGAGTCCTTGTAAAATGACACACTTCAGGTTTTCAAAAAACAGTTTCTAGCACATTACACTTTTCAAAGAATCTTTACATACATTATCTAATTTCAAACATCTATGCAAAGACTGAGGAAGACCAAATTTCTGAAGTCCAGAAAGCCTGAGAGATCATCCAGTTTATATTTTCCTTTTCCACTGCAACTTGCCTTTAGTTACTAATCTCGACTCTCTGTGGCTTCCCTTTAGCACAAACTAAGGTAAATGGAGGAGAGGTAGAACTGAGATTTATTAGCCCCTAGGTAACTGAAATTAGAGTTCTGGCTATGTGTGCCCCCTAGTGTTTGTGAAGTCTGTGATGGTTCAGAATATACAGGAGAGTGAAAATCAAGGTAGGTAGCAACAGCTCCAAATACTTCATCCCCCAAAGCTAGGCATGGACAACTTTGCATAGAAGGCCAATGAGAAAGTGTGTGTGTGCGTGCGTGCAGGTGCATGTGTGTATGCGTGTGTATTTTGCAAGAGGCATCAGACTTCGGAGTCCAATGTTCAGAGTTCAGAAACTGCCACCCCAGCACCAACATCTCCCCCCAAGCTGTCACACTGCTGATTCTCAACCCTGGCTACACATCAGAAAAACCTATTATTTACTGCATGTGCCCACTTCAGAGATTCTCATTAGTTTGATCTGGGTGGGGTCCAGGCACCAGCATTTTTCAGAGCTACCCAGATAATTATTAATATACAGCTGGAGTTGAGAACTACTGGGTCATGCATTGCAGCAGGTTAGATTGAAGTTGGAATTTACCATTGATGAAGTTGTTTGATCTTGAACCTGTGAAGTCTATAAATATCATCTTGTGGGCTTTAGAAAAGAAAAAAAAAACGGCTTTGAGTTATATATAGTGAATTAAACATGAGTTTATCTACATTCCCTCCTGAGTTTTCACTGAAATGAGAGTACATGTTATAAACCTACAGGAAAGATAGAACAGAGAGGAAAACACCACAGACAAGAGAAATCAACAAAGTTTGGGGAAATGGAATGCAAATGGAAGAATAGAAGCTGACATCATGGACAAGAAAAAGCTAAAGCCTAAGTGTTTGCAGAGGGGAAGATTGATGAGAGTCAAACTGATTTGTGTTCAAGAATCCCTGAAAGGCTCAGAAATTGGAGGCCTCAGCTACAAAGATGGGAAGGGGGGGTAAGACTGAAAACAGGAGGACCAGGTCCCTTGAAGTTCTGTATAATGGGCAGTAATCCCCAAGTCTTACCAACATGAGATGCCAGGTGACTCCCTCTATTGTAGAAGGAGCTAGGTTATTCCCTGAAAAAACCAAGAAGAGTCTTCAGACGGGATAGGGAGGAGGCACTGGAAAGAAGAGATTCAGGGAACCTCCATAATCACCTTTGGGTATCCAGCCCCTTCTAGCCTCTTGGCCTCGAGAATGCTGACTACCAAACAAATTCTCCCCAGGCAAAGAACTGGAAAATCTTTCTTTGGAGAAACTGAAAAGCCCTGAGGAAACAAACAAACAAACAAACAAACAAACAAAAACCTCTGAAAAATGATGTTTAGAATACCCACAGTAAGAACAACTGTTTCTCTACCACATCCCTACAGAGTGAAGGCAATGATTTGACAAGCTACACTGATTATTCCTGAGATTCTAATCAGCTTTCTAGAGCCTCGCTCTGAATGGATAATGAAGGATCTCCAGATCTTTAAAGAAAGCTTCCATCCAGTGCAAAAACAAAACAAAAACAAAACAAAAGAGAAGAAATGGAAGTCATTGCAAAAAGAGACAAAAAAAGATATTAAATTTATAATTGATATTCTCAGAAGAAGAGAGGATACTGCAGCCAGGAAGCAAGAACAGAAGGCTGTAAAAAAAAATAAACCCTTTAAGAACAAAGAGTTCTTAGGAAATAAAAATCTGGTAGCTTTGGTAGCTAGTCTCCAAAGATAGACCCCAAGGAACCATGCTTCCCAATATCCACGCCCTTGCATCATCCCCTCCCACATGGAACTTTTTTGGCTTCGTGACACTCTAACCAATAAAATAGGACAAAAGTGATGCTATGCCCATTTTGGCTTAAGCCTTAGGAATTTAGCGGCTTCTGCTTTTGTGCTTTTGGAAGCCCTGAGCCATCCTGTAAGAAGTCTGGGTACCCCACTGGAGAGACCACAGGGAGAGCTCATGAGGAGAGAGAAAGATCCTGAGACTACATGAAGAATGAGAAGCTCTGCCCTCCCAGGGTCCTAGCTGAGCCTCGTCCTGCCATCTGGCCAAAGCAGGTGCATGAATGAAGCTGTGTTGGAGATTCCAGCCCCATCTGCCACATGAGAGGGAGGTCACACGAGAGAGCCCAACTAAAACAGATGAGCCCCAGTCAACCCACAGAATCATGAAAAGTAATAAAATGGTTGTTGTTTTAAGTTACAGATGGTGTGTTATGCAACCAAGATATCTAAAATAATTGCCAAAATAAAATGATGAATCTGAATGGCATCAGACTTCTTAACAACAACCCTGAAAGCTAGAAGACAGTAGAGCAATAGCTTGAAAAGCCAGGGGAGGGGGGATGCATTATTTCAATCTACAGTTCTACAGTCAGTAAAATTAGCAATCAAACATAAGGTTGGATTAAAGAAGATTTCTTGCAAGGCCTCAAAAAATTTACAACTTATGAAAACCTTCTCAAGAAGCTATTGTCAGATGTGACTCAGTAGAATGAAGGATTAAACCAGAAGTTCTCAACTGGGGGCAATTTGGCCCTCCACGCACATTTAGCAATGTCGGGAGACATTCGGGTTGTGGAGGGGGGTGATGTTGCTGGCATCTAGTAGGTTGAGGTCGGGGATGTTGCTAACAGGGAATTAGCAACCACACAGGGAATTAGCTGACCCACAACAGGGAATTAGCTGACCCCAAATATTAATAGTGTACAGGCTGAGAAGCCCTGGATTAAACAAGAGAGAAGACATGACATCAGGGAATGAGATTTTCTTTCTTTCTTTTTTTTTTTTAAAGATTTTATTTATTTGACAGAGAGAGACAGC